AAAAGGCTCAGGCACAAGCTTAATGGGACAAAATTAATTGAGAAAGGTTCACCTATGTTGGCTCAACATTTTTCAATTAGAAAATGGCTACCTCTGTGAACCCAGAAAATTCTTAGGAAGGTCTAAGCCAAGGCCACCTTGCATGTTGACCAGGAAGCAATTTCATGATTCTGCAAGGCCTGCCTTGTGCTATTTGGCTTTGCAGGCAATGTGGAGGCAGAAATCAGGAAGCTGGTTTCCAGTCTGTGGAATGAGCAACACCGGTTGTACCAATTGTGAAGCCCGAAGGATCAGTTCACCTTGTGGGAATATTAAACAAACGGTAAACCACTTGTCACAGCTAGATAAATACTCAATCCCTTGCAGAGAGGATTTATTTGCAAAATAGCGGGAGGGCTGTCCTTCATGAGGTTGGACATGAGCCATGCATACTTACATTTGCAGTTAGATGAGGATTCCCAGAAGTATAGTACAATTAATACCCACAAGGGTTTGTACCAATATATGATCTATCAAATTTATTAAATAGATCTATTGAATAGATATTCAGTTTTTGGAACTGTTGAATGGTATAGTCTCTTGGAGGAAAATGGAAGGGCCAGTCAGTTATTAGGCACTTGGAACGATTCATATGTTAGACAGCATTTGACAGGATTGAGTTGAATTATTGTTATAGAGGAGAGGGTTCAGAAGAGATTTACCAGGATGTTATCAGGTATGGAAGGTTTGAGTTATAAAGAAAGGCTAGATAGGCTGGGACTTTTTTCACTGGAGCGTAGGAGGTTGAGAGGTGACCTGATAGAAGTTTATAAAATAATGAGGTATAGGTGGAGTTGATGGTGGTTGTCTTTTCCCTAAGATGGGGAATTTCAAAACTAGGGGGCACATTTTTAAGGTGAGAGGAGAGAGATGTAAAAAAAAAGGCAATTTTTTTACACAGAGGGCGGTTTGCATGTGGAATGAACTTCCTGAGGAAGTGGTGGATGCTGGTACAACTACAACATTTAAATGATATTTGGATGGATATGTGAATAGGAAAGGTTTGGAGGGATATGGGCCAGGAGCAGGTGGGACTAGTTTAGTTTGGCATGGACTGGTTGCACCAAAGGGTTTGTTTCCATGCTATATGACTCTATGATGAGACTGCCATTTGGGGTATCGTCAGCCTGTGCAATTTTTCAGCAGACAACGGAGAACATTTTACAAGAGCTTTGCTAGGTCACCATTTATCTAAATGACATGCTAATAACAGGGAAGACTAATAAGGAGCACTTAGAGAATTTAGACATATTCCTTCAACGTCTCTCCCAGACAGGCATATGCCTTAGAAGGGAAAAATGTGTGTTCCAGGCACCTCAAGTGACCTACCTGGGCTACAGAGTCGACAAGATCACGTTACACCTGTTGGACAATAAAATGAGGGTAATTAAAGGTGCCCTAGCTCCCATGTCTGTACCAGACCTTTGGTCTTTACTTGGGTTGGTGAATTATCACAGAATGTTCATACAATACCTGCCCTCCATTCTGGCATCTTTGTATCGACTCTTAAAAGAGTGTCAATCTTGGAAACGGTCACATAGCCAAGCCATAACTTTCAGGGGAAGTGAAAAAACACTATCATCCTTTTATAATCCTAAGCGTGATCTGGTATTGAGATGTGATACCTCCCTATACAACGTCAGGGTTGTATTAGCTCATATGTGGCCCAATGGAGAGGAGAGCCCAACACCGTATGCATCCAGGATTTTGGCTAATGCAGACTGTAAATATGCCCAGATAGAGAAGGAAGTTTGGCGGTCATATTTGTAGTCAAGAAGTTCCATCAAAACCTTTACAGACGTAAATTTGTAATAACGGACCACAAACATTTGCTTGGTTTACTTGAAGGGGCCAAGGCAGTGCTGCCCATAGATTCAGGCCAAATTCAGCAGTGGGCTCTAACACTAAATGCATAAGTGTATAATTATAGGTTGGAACACCGTCCGGGAGGCCAAGTGACGAATGCAGATGCATTGAGCCGCCTCCTGCTGGCAGATACACCGCCGGTGGTACCAACACTAGAAGACTCCAAATATTTTTTAATTTTCTAGACACACTTCCAGTCACAGCTCACAGCATCAGTCTTTGGATGCAGAAGGACCCAGTCCTGGCAAAATCGAAACAGTTCGTGGTGATGGGAGAAACCAAACCGTTGTCACAACCAGAAATGAAACCTTTTTGGACCCGGAGAGACCAAATCACAGTAGAGGATGGCATATTATTATCAGGAGCAAGAGTGAGCAAAGGTTGCCGCAGGATACTGGCTGAACTCCGCAAGGGTCACCCAGGGTTTTCCAAAATGAAGATGTTGGCGAGAAGTTGTGTCTCGGATTGGCTTCAGACATAGCCATGCTGGAGGGGCAGAGCCCAGAGTGCCAACAAGGATAAGAATTACTGCCAGCAGAACCCTACATTCACCCTGGACTAGGTTACACATCAATTACGCAGGTCCTTTCATAGGCTCAATGTTCTTAGTCTTAGTCTTTGTGGATGCCCACTCAAAGTGGTCGTACGTGCATAGAGTTCACTCATCAAACAGGGGACAATAGAAAAACTGCGTGCATCTTGATATGGGCTAAATGGTGGCAAATGGGACAAGATTTATATACGATATCTGGTTGAAATGGACAAGTTGGCCAAAGGATCTGTTTCCGTACTGTACATTTTTATCACTCTATGACTCTATAACACACACACTCCTGGAAGTGTTGGTCTGGGATAATGGGCCATCATTTACTGGCAGGGAATTTGAGAATTTCCTAAAGTTGAATGGCATTCTATATATAAGGACAGTTCCATACCATCCATCAGCCAATGGTCTGCTAGAAAGAGCAATCCAAATTTTGAAGGCAGACTTAAAGAAAACAGTCTGCAGCTTCACTAGATACCAAACTGTCGCCATTCCTATTTGATTACTGGATCACCTCTTATGCAACTAAGGGATAGCTCCAGCAGAGTTGCTAATGAGGAGAAGACACCAGGCTAAATCTGATCTTCCCAGACCTGGAGGGGAAGGTGAAATGGCATTAGGAACACCAGCCCTGGACACAAGACTTGACCAGGCGAGAGAGACAGTTTACTTAGGGAGACAAAGTTTGGTATAGGAACCATGGGAATGGCCCTGCATGGGTAAGAGGCATGATCGACGCGAGGTCAGGTCCAGTGATGAAGAAAATTGGGGCAGGTGCAATGGTCCTGAATAAGGTCTTGGACCAATGAAAGCTGCAAACTCGCAAATGGGCAGGAGCAAAAACAAGCCAGGCTCCTCAGAACAGTCAGAAAGGTTGCTGGAACCTATGGGTTCTCCCTCTCCGTCAACCATTGAAGAGACCTCGGTTTCTGAGATGGACACAGCGGATGACATGCCTCGACACCTTTGCCATCAGGAGAATGAATTTCTTCCAAGACATTCTGGGCACAAGAGGTGAGCTACTGTGCGTTACACACCGCCCATATCTGAAGCAGAATCAAAGGAATCTTACTTGGTGTTAAAACACCCAAGGAGGAGCTACATAAAAAATACCAGCTTATGTCCTCAGACTCAGAAGTGGAGGGGTATAGTGATTGTAACGAGGTCAGCCAGGTGGACTTCATAAAATATGAGTTCCCTGATTGGGGCTGTTAATCTTGTCCAATCAGAGACTCCTGGCTGACATAAAAACAGGAATGTCGGACAGCCTGTTACTGTGAGACGTGGATCACTGTCAAAGACTTCCCACGGGTAAATAAAAGGTGATTTGGTGACAGTATACCGGCCTCTGTGGTGTAATTTTAAAGGTAATCTAAATAATATCTATAATGTAAAGCCTGATCATAACTCTCACTCACACAGACAGACAGAGACAGTTAAGGGATAAATTAGAAAAAAAAAATGATTATAATTTCAAGCGATAGATACCAGGCATTCATGAAATCCTTGAACAATCGTTTGTTCACAGGCAAGTAGAACTGTATATCTTGCTTGAATTCTGAAGTTACCAATTAATGCAGACAGTTTCAGAAAACTTCTAAAAATACATGTACTTATTTCTTAGAGTCTAGGATTATTTTCTCAGATCATTCAACAATTCAGTAACTAGATAGAAAACTAGAGAGAGCAAAACACAACAATCTCTGGAGGTTTTCAAAATCACTCTCCCTCCTTCTAAAACCCAGTCAGAAGCAGTTCTCTTTTTTCTTTTCAATCAGCATTCTCTGTGATTGACAGGTTAACGCAAGTCCTCCCTTGATTGGCCACCATTCAACCAGTTGCCAACCCTGAGCAGAGCAACTACACAGTGCTAATTTGTCTACAGTGACCTTAGTATAGAATTATCTTCCAGGCCAGTTACCAACAGCAAACAATTGTCTTTGCTCTTTTGTTCTTTGAAACAAGCTGCTACTCAAAATTCAACTCTTAATCTCAACTCACAGTTCCAAACCAAACCTAATAAGAAAAATAAAAGATAAATGGTAAAGGCCTCTGCACCAGAATTCAGAGCATATAGCCGAAGAAAATATATTTGCATAAATTAAAATATCATTTGGATGTACACCCCTGTCTTAGAATTTTTAAATATTTGAGGAAATCTGTGATTGAGAAATATTAGCTGTTGGTATCACACTGGACAGACTGCAGTTTTTTCTGATCCTGTACCTTTCTAGCTTCCTCAGTTTAATTTTCCAAATAAAAATGCCGTATTTGCATTTTCAACAGATAGGAATGTTGATGACATTTTATGTATTACTGAGGCCAAAATTATGTGTGCTGTTGGCCGCAAGACCAATTTTATATTTATTCCCATTCTTTCATGTTGCAGTAAATTGAAGTATTAGATACTCTGAGGGACTGAGTATTGACCACAACTAATATTGATATGAAATCCTCTCATTATACATTTTTAATAGCCCTAATAGCCCAGATAGCAAGCTGGCAAACGGATTAGTTGGTTGAATGCTTTCTCACATTTTACTTTTGCCAGTACTAAAATTGAAAAAGAGAAAAGGGAACTTGCAAAGCAGTACGGAATGGTACGAATTGAAGTGACTGGAGGTGAAATAGCAGAGGAGATGGAAAAGGAACGGAGGATGTTTCAACTGCAGATGTGTGAGGTATGTGAGAATTTCTGATTTATTTACTTCCACATGAAGTCCTATTTGTGTGGTATATTCATATCAATTTTAGTAATTTGTTATTGATTTCTTATGCCAGTAAGTCGTTTTATTTAGTTCATTTCATACTCATCAAGTTGAAGGATTCAGTTTTAGAAAATGGAACAATTCTCCACTTTTCACCCACTAGTGTGCCACTCCAAGGTCAGGTTTAACATGGCAAGCTGTGGAAGTAAAACTTCTTTGACTCTGCTCCAACATGTTGTATCCCTGAGTATCAATTCAACTCCTACTATATCAGTGTGTGACAGCTCTAATGGATATCCCAGTCATCTTGAATTGTGAGGTTCAGGCTGACGTATTACCTGGATCTATGTTCACTTATCCTTTCATGCATTGTGAGCTTCACTGCCGAGGCCAACATTTGTCGACCATCATTAATTGCTCTTGAACTAAGTGGCTGCCTAGGAGAATGTTTGTTCCATATTTTTGCTTGTAAATTTAGCATTGTTTTCTACTTAATATTCATTAATAGGGAATTTCAGAGGACAATTAAGTCACACATATTGTGTGGGTCTGAAGTCACATGCAGGCCAGACTAGATAAGAATGGCAGATATTCTTTCCAGAAGGACATTAGTGAGCCAATTGATAGCTTTGGAGTCACCATTACATATATTCCAAATTGATTAATTGGTGGGAATTGAATCCCTGTCCCCAGAGCTTTACCCTGAGCTTCAGAACTGCTCGTCCAAAGACATTACCTCCATCTCCCCAAACTGCCCAAGGCCCGCAATCGGATACCTAAACCATCATAGTCAGAGACTTTCGTCTCACGGTCTGGATGAATACATATTCAGACTCAAGAAGCAAAAACATATTATTTTATGAAGCCCCTTTCCCTACCTCCATCTTGTAACATCATTGTCAAGGAGCAGATAGCTTCAGAAAAACCGGACAAAGAGATGCTTCAGCTGACTGATTGCAGTGGTTTCTTAGTGATTGCTGGAGAAGTGTGCAATTAAGTGAATTAAAACTGCATCACGTGGAGAAGCCGAATTTTGTGTGCTGTTTTCTAGAAATTGATTAATAATTGTAGTTTGCTATGTGCTTCTGTTGGTGTAATTGGAATGACCACTAGTATTAATCAAGCAAGAATGAAAAAATAGCCATAAAGTCATTATAAAAGAGAAATTAGTATAGTGAGTTATTACATACTTTTATAGCTTGAGATTAGGCCCATCATAAAAAAATTTAAAATAATAAACACTTTTGTTCCATATTTTTGCTTGTAAATTTAGCATTGTTTTCTACTTAATATTCATTAATAGGGAATTCCAGTTTAGATGTTACTAATTATGTTACTATCAGTCATTGTGAGAGATACGTGAATGATGTACGAATAGCATTATTTGAATACATTGTTTTGAAGAAAATTACAGTGAAATATTGGTACAGAAGGCTCACTGCCTACTTGATAACACAGTGTGGAGCTGGAGGAACACAGCAGGCCAGACAGTATCAGAGGAGCAGGAAAGCTGGGTCGGGACCCTTTTTCTTGGCCTGCTGTGTTCCTTCAGCTTCACACTGTGTTATGTCTGACTCCAGCATGGGCAGTTCTTACTATCTCTTACTCCTACTTGATGTGTCTTTCTGTATGTGATGTTAAGTTAGCTATTGCCAAAATATGTTCTGACATGAGTTGGGGTTTGATTTACAGCAGAAACTGCTATTACTCATGATGGTATTCAACTGGCTGAAATACCACTGTTCTGAGAGGAATTTTTCATGTTGAATCCCTTCTTGAGATCTGTCAGCTCTTCAGTCAAAATATCCGTTATATTAATCATTTTATCAGTTATGAAAGACTTCACGAGTGACAACGCTATTAAAATAATCCACCGCGATATATTGCATTTTTGAGCTCCTTGTTCAGATTAAAAAGGATTTCTTGAATAATTCACAATTTTTGCTTCATGGTTTTTTGGACTTGCTGTCGACCCTTTTGAGTATTCTGGGAAAATAATGAGTTCATAACCTTGGCTTATTTTAATGCATAAGCAAAAGCATTAATTATGGGGAGAGGAACATATGCTGTTGCTAGATGATTTCCACCACTGTTGTTTGCTTCACAGAAAAGGAATCTGCCCATCTATCTTCCCTATGCTTTAATAAATGGCTGTGTTTGAGCCATTACTTGCCGAGAAGGGTTAGCCCTGCACATAATGGCATAGGGAACCTTTTTAATGATGATATTTATGTTCCTGCAATGCCACTTAACTTTGGAAGCCCCAAAAGGAAAAGATGGAACTGAGGATTTCATGCCCATTAAATGGCTCCTTAAAAATTATTGAATTTTACATTTTACAATTCTATACATTTCCCATCACCAAGTCTCCCTTTGTTTACATGAGCACAGTACATTGGTTGTGGCCAGCCAGCCAGCTCAGAGTCAGTCCCTGAAGTCAGGACACTCTCTGAATCCCTGTTTTCGTCTGTCAGCCAGGGCTCCCTGATTAGCCCAGGTTAACAACCCTAATCAAGGTTCTCATAGTCAATCAGATCCACCTGGTTCCAATCACTACATCTACTTATTCGCTTTTCTCTCTCAAACCAATATTTTTCTCCCTTTATATGTATTGACTTATTCACTTTATTTTGTTCTCTGTCGTTGATATTCCTTTCTCCGTCCTTAAGTTTCAATGATGCCATTGTTCACCAAGATCCAAGATGACAGCTAAACTACAATCAATTTATATTTCTGACAATTTTTGAACTGAAGGATGAGGAAAGCTTACAACTCCTAAAGCAAGCTGGAAGTTCCCTGTTGTAGCAAATTTTGGCCCATTGTGTTGCAGCAATATTATAGGTAGAGTGTCTCAAATCCAGATATCCAAAAACCAAGCATTTCTTTTTAAGCTGCCATCAGCTGACTTTCCCTCTTCACTGTCATCTTGGGTCCAACTGTTGCAGTTTACAGCTGCTCCTTTCCACCCCTCACATTTGCTGAAGTATATGGAAACCCTATTGACATACATAAACAGACTTCTAGCACATTTCTAAAAAAGTATGTGTTATGGATCTGAAGCACCTCCAAAGAATTGTCTGGCTTATCTTGTAGCATTGCCTCAATTTCTTTCAAAACTTCCCTTTGCAATCCTGACTTCAACTATGTCCTCAACACTCTAAATGCAAGACAATACTGACCTGGTTCAAGTTGCCCAATTCAAAAACGAGCAAGTTCCAAAATCCAGCATGATTGGTTCCAGGGCTGTCAGTTTTTGAGACATTCTACCCAAGTTATTTTCTGGATCTGTATTGTATCTAGATCTACATTCTCCTGCTGAATCTGCTGTTTGCAATGTCTGCAACCTCTAATTTGCCTTGCTCAGCCAGTAAAGCTAATTCCTCTATGCGAATAGTGTGCTTGTATGCAGGAAACCTAATCGGTATTTCTGATGAAGGTGAAATAGTAGCTGTCTGGTGAGTGCAACTTGAGTGAGCATAGTGCAGATATTGTTGCAGCTGCTGGTAAGTTCTGACTTGCAGCTATGCCAGAAGATCCAGGCATGTCCCTGAACAGATGAAATTAATGAAGCTGAAAGCATTTCATCCTAGCTAGAACCTAGCGCAGTCACAGATATTTTACACTCTTCTCATGTCTTCCAGGTGTCACAATCTTACCAGTGTCTGTCAAAATAATTTCCATCTCAATATATTCAATACTATTTCAGGCTTGAAGAGCTGAACTTCTTTCCTTTATCCTTGATAATTGTTTGTTTTCTCTGCCAGTTCAAAATCTTCTGTCCAAAGCTAATTTTTCTTTTCTATACTCTTTTTGTTATAATGTTGCCAGGTATCTCTCAAAGAATTATTTTTGTCTGGCAGATACAGTTTACTGCAAATAGTTATTACATTTTTCTTTCCTACCTTAATATTTGATGATTCATTGTAGGTACCTATCATTGCTAACTTTGCTATCCTTTCTTTTATCTCATCTGGCATTTCTTTTTCTATTTTTGACATGCTGCACCAATTTCTAAATCTATTACCAGCAGTGAATATTTGCTGTTTTAATTAGGATGAAATATCACATATTCTATGTTTTCTGTAATATTCAGCTTGTGATTTGTGGCTTCTGCAATGTGATTTGGGCTTCTTATTTATAATATAGTGAGAAATCCTGAACAGATAATATTTTCCTTAAATACATATTTTTTTAAATTTCAAAGCACTTTTCTACCTGTAATGTCAATGATTTGCCAGTTGAATCTTCAAAGAAATTACTATGTTTGTTGAGTTCTTTTAAAATATTTGGCTTATAAGAATCCTAAATCAGTCACTGAGAAGTCATACTTTTTTAATAATGTAAGGGGTATACAATTTACCATACAACTTTGCTTTTTTTTTCTTTTAGTATCTGATCAAAGTAAATGAGATAAAGACAAAGAAAGGAGTGGACTTGCTACAAAATCTCACCAAGTATTATCATGCACAGTTCATGTAAGAGTTCTCGTCTGCATTTATTTTCATGATTTTAACCTGTTCCTGGCCTGATCAAATTTTCAGCTCTGAGATTTGTTGGTTCTACTGTGTAGTGAATTGGATATTGCCATGCATTGTGCTGTAGACTGTGGACCAGGGAATATCCAATCTCGGCTGATGATGCAAAAGTTTCCTTGGGTGTTGGTTACAAGGATTCTATGTCAAACACATTTCAGAAGTTTCAATCTGGCTCATTGTGACATGGGCCAAGATTAGTTATAGAGTCATAGAGCTGCACAGCATGGAAACAGGCCCTTCGGTCTAACTCATCCATGCCAACCAGATATCCTAAATTAATCTAGTTGCATTTGCCAGCATTTGGTCCTTATCCCTCAATATTCTTCCTATTCATATACCCATCCAGATGCCTTTTAAATGTTGTAATTATACCACTCTCCACCACTTCTTCTGGCAGCTCATTCCATAAACGCACCATCCCCTGCATGAAAAAGTTGCCCCTTAGGTCCTTTTTAAATCATTCCCCTCTCACCTTAAATCTATGCTCTCTATTTTGGACTCCCCCCACCGCAGGGAAAACACCTTATCTATTCACCCTATCCATGCCTCTCATGATTTTATAACCCTCTATAAGGTCACCCCGCAGCCTCTGGTGCTCCAGGGAAAATAACCCCAGCCTATTCAGCCGCTCCCTATAGCTCAAAACCTCCAACCCTGGCAACATCCTTGTAAATCTTTCCTGCACCCTTTCAAATTTCACAACATCCTTCCTATAGCAGGAAGACCAGAATCGAACGCAGTATTGCAAAAGTGGCCTAACCAATGTCCTGTACGGCTGCAACATGACCTCCCAACTCCTTTAGTCAAAGCACCGGCCAATAAAGATAAGTATACCAAATGCCTTCTTCACTATCCTACCTACCTGCGACTCCACATTCAAGGAACTATGATCCTGCACTCAAAGGCCTGTTTGTTCAGCAATACTCCCCAGGACCATACCATTAAGTGTATAAGTCCTGCCCTGGTTTGCCTTTCCAAAATGCAGCACCTCACGTTTATCTAAATTAAACTCCATTGGCCACTCCTCAGCCTATTAGCCCATGTGATCTTGTCCCCGTTTTACTCTGAGGTAACCCTCTTCACTGTCGACGAGACCTCCAATTTTGGTGTCATCTGCAAGCTTACTTCCTATGTTCAAGCCCAAGTCACTTACATAAATGACAAAAAGCAGTGGATCCAGCACCGGTCCTTGTGGCACATCGCTGATCACAGGCCCCCAGTCTGAAAAGCAACCCTCCACCACCACCCTCTGTTTTCTACCTTCAAGCCAGTTCTGTATCCACATGGCTAGTTCTCCCTGTATTCCATGTGATTTAACCTTGCTATTCAACCTCCCATGAGGAACCTTGTCATATGCCTTACTGAAGTCCGTATAGGTCACGTTCACTGCTCTACCCTCATCAATCCTCTTTGTTACTACTTCAAAAACCTCAATCAAGTTAGTGAGACACGATTTCTCACACACTGGGTCCCTTGCTGAGATATTCTAAGGTACCCGATCAGGACCCAGGGATTTATCCACCTTTATGCATTTTAAGATGCCCAGCACCACCCCTTCTGTAATATGGCCATTTTTCAAGATGTCACTATTTATTTGCCCATGTTCTCTTTCTTCTATATCCTTCTCCACAGTTAATTAGTTAATTTAGTTAATTAATCTATATTTGCTAGCGATACAGTTGCCAGGCAGGCATAGAAAATGGAAAAGAAATGCTACACTGTGCAATTGGAGAGCCGCAGCTGCTGAGTAAAGTGATCAGTTTGAAATCCCTCTGAAAGTATGACAAGTGCTAGCTGTTCATTTAAATGATCAAAATTAGGACTGAGATCCAATTCCATGTAAACCTGATATATAACCAGGATGTGCTGGAGAATCTCAGCAGGACTGGCAGCATTTGTGGAAAGAGAAATAGTGTTTACATTTCAAATCTGATATGACTTCTTCAGGACTGAATGAGGCTGGAAAATTGTGATTTTTATTTTGTTGACAGAGGGGGATGAGGAATCAGCAGAACAGACTGTGAGGATGCCTAGAGCAAAAAATAAAGACCATAACATATAATTAGGCTATTCGGCCCAGTGAGTCTGCACCACTATTCAATCATGTCTGTTATGTTTCTCAACCCCATTCTCTAGTCTTCTCCCTGTAACCTTTGATCCCCTTGCTAATAAAGAATCTATCTCTCTTTTAAATACACTCAATGACTTGGCCCCTACAGACTTCTGCAGCGATGAGATTCACAGATTAACCACTCTCTGGCTGAAGAAATTCCTCTTCATCTAAGTTCTAAAGGATTATTCCTTCACTCTGAGGCTGTGCCCTCAGATCCTAGTTTGTCATACTAGTGGTAACAACTTCTCCACATCTACTCTATCCAGGCCTGTCTGTATTCTGTACGTTTCAATGAAATCACCCCCTCATCCTTCTAAACTCCATTGAGTACTGACCCAAAGTCCTCAACCACTCCACAATGGTGGTAAAGGAGTAATGGAGATGTGAAAAGGAAAAATTGTGTGCACTTAATTGAGGGCAAAGTCAGCAAGACACAACCAGAGGATGCTGGGTCCCCTCTCTCTAACAGCATTAAAAGCCCAATTTTCTAGCCCCTTTCAATTCTGGAGAAGTCATATCAAACTCAAAACTGGATGGAATCTTACCAGACTCTGAGTAATGTCAGCTATGGCAAGATGAGTGGTCAAATCAGGTGTGATTGTCATCTTGACGCCAAGATCATGTTGCTGCCACTTTCCCGCCTTGGTAAAGTGGTGTGGCAAGATTCTCCTCAGGGAGATGTGAGTTCCAAAGTGATGCTCTTTATTGCTTGTCAACAGTCCAATTCACCATAGGTTGCGATATTACAAAACCCACCATTTAAATTAACCATTGTAAAACTCAATTGAAAACTAGAGCAGTTTCTTCACAGGTTCAACTTGCCACTTGCTCCAAATGATCTCCGTGTGGACACCTGGCATCAACATCTCAGGCACACTTTACGGGCACAAGCCACATGCACCCCACATCCATGGATATTGGCATCTGGCATTTGCCACTTCTATGAACCCTCATGGCACAACTCCAATTCACTTACAGGATGTTTTGTGCACTGTACTGTTTTACCTTAGGCTGCACTGGCAACAATCTTTGTAATGCTGCAGCACAGAGATTCTGTTCGGAGATGCACATCTAGCTCAAGACTGAACCTATCTGCACCTCTGGGCTTTTCACTTCTTCGTATAGTGCTCATTCACTGACTTTATGAAGATGCTCACAGCAACCCTGCCTTGCCTTGCCTTTTTTGTATTTGCCTCTCAATCAGAGATACCTGGCTCCTATTATAACTGTTTTGCCATGTCGTTTAACACAAACGAAGTCATGAAATTTGCTACAGTTGTAAATAGGCCTAACTCCAGACAAAGCTTTCACTCAGGGGATCCCAGCACAGTAAATCAGCCTCTAATACCAGTCCAGGCCCTGCATCGGGCAGAGTCAGGATCTTCTACTCATAATTCTATGATTCTATAAGAGACAGGGCACCAAATGGTTGGCAGCACACAACCTATTTTGAGTCTTTCTGCCCTGTTGTGGACTTTATTGTTCCTGCAGTTGAGAGACTGGAAGTTATTAACCACTGTGAAAGTGGGTGGCACAGCCATCACTGTTGGCGTGGTTGAATTAGTTTCCCAAGCGGGTGAATAGGCAGCAGAAAGGGCGTGCAGGGTTAGTGGTGTCACAATTTGGTGTGGATGAGGGTGAATAAAGAAAATGTTGAGGGTAAATAGTGAGAATGGTAGAGCATGCATCTTGGTGGGAGGTGGGATCAGTAGCAGAGATTGATTGTAAGGTATCAAAAAGAAATGGTCACACAAATGCTGCCAGAATAACACCTTCTTCCTACAGTGTTGGGCATTTCTCAATATGTTTGAGACTGCTTCAGCATGGATGGCAATCTCAGACCAGACTGACAAGGTCTGGTGTTGTGGCCTCTACTGCTGTTCCTGAGGGAAGAGGATGCCTTGCCTGTGCACCACCTTTTCCAGCAGGATCTCTAGGCCCCTGTCCACAAAAAGGGTCAAGGATTTTTCCCTGTCTGCCATGTCTGGTGAATATATCAGGAACAATGCAGGGCAGCTCCAGACTGACATGTTTAACCAGGTGTACACCAGCTTTTTAAATATGGCGTCGGTGCCAGGGATGTTGGTTAATTTCAGGATCTCCAGTGAATGGCGCGTTGTTCAGTGAATAATGTGTAGTAAGGTGATGAGGAAGTAGGATATGATTCTCACCACTTGGGCTCAAATGGCAATTAAAGCAACGAGTTTAGTAAGATGTGTAACAAAACTTGTTTGGTGTCATGGCAAGAATCATTCACTACTCTCGATGTGATTCTCATTTAGCAAAAATGGTAAAATTCTGACCATAAATTCTGTTTCTCTCTCTGGAGATGCTACCAGACCTACTGAGTTTCTGCAGCGTTCTGTTTTTTAAACCCAAATCTCAAGCATCCACAGTATTTTGTTTTTATTCCATGTTAGCCTGGGCCTCCTGGTTGGGCACGTCCTGTTTGAAATTAAACTATAACCAATTTTTAATGTTGATCCCGTATTATTTTTGGAAGGTGTTACAGGCCATCTCTTTGAACTTCTTTGCTCTGATTTACCTAGAATGATATTAGCTAGCTAGTGGGCAATCCTGGTATAATAACATCATTAGTTTAGTAATCTAGACATGCAGCTATTTGTCTGGGGTGTGGGAGGTCATGGATTCAAATCCACAGGTGGCTGGTGGAATTTGAATTTAGTTAATAAACTCTGGAATATAAAACTAGTCAAGATAATGACCATGAAACTCCCATTGATTGTTGTAAGACACATCTGTTACACTAGTGTCCTTCAGAGAAGGTATCCTGCTCTCCTTACCTGGTCTGGGTGACATGTGACTC